TGATGAGTTCAGCAATTTCCTCCGGTACTGGTATGATAGGCTGTTCCGACTCGGTGACCGATGTTTCCAGATTTCCCAAATCCTGATCCTCCCCCTCAACGGGTTGGATATGCCTATCAGAGAATTGCACATTACATTTAGTTGAAACTGTGTGGCAATCTGGCCAATAGATGAAGTAATCATTGGACTCTGGCACAATGCCTACCCATCGTCCTTCCTGTGCTTGAGGGTCAAGCTTCCCAGGCTCCTTTTCATGTTTAACATAAACCGTGCTTCCAAAGATGTGAAAGTTAGAGATATCAGGGATTGTCCCAAATTGTTTTTCCCACGGAGAAATCATACCATTTGCCTTCTTTGATGTCCTGTTCCATACATACACTGTGTACCCCATCATGAATCCCCAAAGCCATTTTGGTAATTGTCAAGTCCATGCCGCGGGCCTCCATTCCGCTGCTCGGTATTCCGAAGATCTGCTCCTTATTGTAATCTCACTCTTATTGTTCTTTCTCGCTACACATACCCTTTCGTTCTAGTCCCTCCTTATTGTCTTTTACTCTACCCTGCAGGTACTACTTGTATAGCTCCTAGTAGTTAGTCTGGCGCTCCGCACCGCTGCGCCGTTCCGTAGATATAAATACTGCCTGTACGCTACTGTAGTTCCTCAGTTTAATTATCGACTTAGATTCCCTCTTTCACTCTGTGCTCTCTAAGTCTTCAGGCTCAACGCCTTGAAGTACGTTCTACTCTACCTTAGGACTTAGACGTCCTCTGGCTCGCTCCTCGTCACCGGCAATACCGCCGCTCCGACTTGGCTGCTCCTTAGTTCCTCCCTTCTCTACTCTCGATCTCCGGGGACTAACGGCGTAACGGCAGTGTTGTTAATAACTTCACTACTGTCCCACTCGTCTTCCGCACTTAGACACCTTGTAGCCTTGGCACGGTTACACGATGTACATGATCTTAACAGTAATCCAGATGATATCATGAGGCTGCATACTCCATTGAGTAGTGTCCTGTAACTATGTTCCGCTACGCCATTGTGTTCCGGAGTGTCATGTACTGTAAGACTACACTGAGTGCCTAATCGTTCCAGATATGCTGTGAATTCACCACTGAGAAATTCTCCCCCTCAATCAGAGTGGAATTTCTTGACCGTTATTCCATATTGAGTTTGGAGACCAGTTTGGAGTATTACGTATTGGGCGAAAGCCTCATCTTTGCCCTTCATCAGTGGTTCCTCTAACCAACTGGTTGCTTTGTCGATGATTGTCAATGCGTAGATATAATGATTTAGCATTTAGACAGAAGCTGGTTCCCATACATTCATGTGAAATACATCCCCAAATTTCTCCACTCTTGGAGATGCCCGGATTTTGGAGATTGGGAATCTGGTAGCTTTAGCAAGCATGCAAGTTCGGCATTTGGGTTCTTCCATCTGCTTAGGATCTAACTTGATCCCATGAACCTGGTTGGATTTGAACATATGCTTGACATAAGTATAGTTCTGGTGGCCAGCAATGCAGTGTACTTCATAAAGCGACACCATACTGGTCGCCTTTATGGCATAGGCATATTCTGCACTCGGAATCTCGTACAGACCATTTGTCTTGGGAATAATTCCAATCGTCTCCCCCTGTCTATTAATGATCTTAAGAGTTCCATCTTTGATCACCATCACATATCCTGCGTCGTCGAGTTTACCCAGCAATACAAGTGTGTCTGGTGTGTTGGGGCATAGGAGAGTATTTTGGAGTGTAAGTGATTTCGTAATTCCATCAGTGTTGATAGGAAGATCGATCTGGAGATTTCCGGCAATGTTGCATGTGAAAGTCTCGGCATTAGCTGCCTGGATAATACGGGTAGGAACACTACGCATGTTTTGAAGTTTGTCTTGAAGTGGCGTCATGTGGGATGAGCATCCTGAGTCAAACAGAATTGCTCTGCTGCTGTGAGATGCTACGAAGACTGTCTCATAATTACTAGCGATTTCAGAGAAATTAAATATTTCCTGTGACGTAGTTGCGGTAACTTCCACGGCTGCCCATGATGACTCAGGTACTTCCTCAATGGTGGCTGAGGATCCCACTTCCTTATTCTTTAATCTCCGATAATTACTACCGCTCCCAGACGGTTGGTTTTTCTCCTTCTTTTGAGAACTCTCTTGGGCCTCGTTGGTCTGTTGTCGCTTTGGCAAACTGCATTTATTAGCGAAATGCCCTTTTCCACCGCAATTGTACCATGTGGAATTGTTAGAGATTGGTCAACTTTGACCTCCTCCTCTATTACCATTTTCTCTGCCCCTCGACTGGCCTCTGAAGTTTCCACAATTTCAGTTAAATCCACCCCTGCTGCAGTTGAAATTTCCGCTGGCATAGTTTGCAGATTCCTTCTTTCCAGACTGTCCTTGGGTATGACCAGATCCTTCAGCACGTATCGTCGAAACTAGCTCCCTTGTGGTCAGCGGGACTGAAGTTCTTGCTGCAATCACTACCAATGCGTTAATTGTTGGTTTGGATATGTTTGGGATGGAAGTGATGATCGTATTATTGAACATTTCCTCGGCAATGGTGATTTTCCGCACCTCCAAACTGTCTCTGATTTCCAACAATTTATCCAAATGCTCATTAACCTTTGACGGTTCACGGCAGCGCATGGAATGAAGCTGTTGTTGTAAGTGCGCTTCAGTGAGAGCACTTTTTGAATCAAAATCACTCAGCAAATTTTTCCACAAATCAAACACATTTTTGTAATTCTTGTATTGTCTATAGATCTGGTCTGATAGGTGGCCCACGATGGCATTTAATAAATTTTCATTGTTGTCTTTCTTAGCTTCCCATACTTCGTCATCTTTTGGATCAGATGTGAGGTGCTCTGAAAATCCAATTGATCGGATGGCTAGCTCCACTTGATTCTTCCACGTGTCCCAGTTAGATCCATCACTTTTAAGCGTAGATACGTTGTCAAAAGCTTTGAATACTTTTGACATATTATCGTTGTCTTCGTCACTTTCTGGATCTGATACTTCTGCTCCTGGATCTGGATCTTCCGGATCTCGTGCAAGTGGCGAAGATCTTGGTAGTGATGATATCGGTGATGAGGGTCGGTCTAGTGCTGAGCTAGGTGGTGGGAGAACAGGATATTCTGGTTCAGGGGCTGATGCTGCTTCTGGCATACCCTGTGGTTTCTGGGATGATGATGATCCAATCTGCTCTGTGAGTGCTCCTCATCCAAGTATAAGGTCTTCTTGCTTTCTGTCGATAAGTCTAGCAAAGCTGGGGTTATAACCAGTTGTTATTTTGTTGTATCTATCTGGACAAGGTTGATCTTTGCAAACTCTGTACTTGCTGCCGTTGGGATTGTGATACTGATCCTTGACATCGTTTTTGTCAAAAATATGTTCCCTATAAGCACAAGCTGCAGTTGGCTTGGTTGGACAGTTATTGACTTTGCGAGGAGGGTTAGTCCTTAATGAGATAAATCAATGTATGCACCGTATTCCTTATTTATTTAGGTTAGGGCGGGGCCCATAACCTGTTAGAATATAGTCACGTTATATTCAGCAGCAATGGCAGTAAGAGATAGAGTGCACACAGCACTGTAGCTGATCACACAGATCAGATGATAAAGGAGTAGAGAGGACTGCTTATTCGACGAGGTGAATACTACAGGTTTATATACAAGTCCAAGGTAGACGATGTCATGTTACAACTAAACATAGCGAGAGAGAAAGGAAGTACAATACAATGTATCCTACTGGTAGTCCTAGAGTAATAGTACACGATGGTGAGACTGATAACACAGTAGTGAGATAGTGGTTTGTAATATGAGAACAATGTTCCATAGATGGTATGTGAGTCATCGAATGATAACATCTTCTACTTTTGATCTCTGGGGACTAGTGGCGTAATGGTGGTATTGTCAATTCACCACTATCCCATTTGACCTTCTGCCCTTAGACACCGAATGGCCCTTGGCACAGCTTTGCAGTGTACGTGATCTTAACACATAGTCTATTCTTTCTTCTTGTTCAAATAGTACTGAATGCAACTGGCAGACCCATTGACTTATTCCAATCTGAGCTGGTCTAACAAAGTGGTACTTGCCCACAATAGGGCAGTCTTTGCATCATTTACAGGCCACTGCTTCTGCATTCATCTCTGAGGCCACAAAGGCTGAATCCTCAGCCATGCCATATAAAGGAATTGGAAGAAGAAACAGCAAACCAAAGGCTGTTAATGGGAGTTCTTGAAACATTGCTTAGTCCCCATTTGGGAGCCCAAGTCAGGCAACTCACAGCAAGTTGGATCCAAAACCTATTAAAACAGTTGACACTAGACAGTGCTAGTTGACATGTAGAGCAAATTTCATGCTGATCAGCTGGTCTAAATCCTTGAGTCACTTTTAAACATATTTTGTGGCTATTGTCAATCAGAGAATGCAGGAAAGAATCCTTTAGAAATGTTGAGAAGGGTAAAGCTCAGTAAGTTTTTCATAGATAATATGACCATTATGCATCACTATTCAAACCTCAAGGAAAAAAAATTCTCATGTTCCCATTATTTTCTGAGTCAACTGTTAATTAGGCAAAGAAAGAAATGTCACTTCCATCATCACCTGATCTGAGTTTAGGTGAGTTTTTAATTTGGGATCCCGAATAGGGCCGTATGGCATTCTACCTGAATTCGAAGTCACTGGACCAACCAAGAAAAGATAATTACTATAATTTGATACTCCAATCTGGGCGGCAACCCCCTAACCCATCAACCGTCAGATCAACTGTAATATCGGCACGACACGCCGAGGTTCGATAAGCGAGGCAACTAACTATCCATTGCGGTATAGTTGTACAAACGGTCGGCATCTACACAGGCTATCAAGCAATGAATAATATCCACGGATCATCGTCGTCCGCAACAGACAGCAGTGTTTCTATACCCAGACATTGTCTTTATTGAAATGTCAGATACTGCGAGGAAAGATCGGAAGGGAAGGCAACTCACCAAAAATCTTGTTTATCATAGAATCGTACAACATGCAGCGTTAAATTTTTATTGTTCTTCTTCATACTCATATACATCTTCTTAGCCGCCGGGGAAACCGTTGGCTCGTCAATCCCAACAACGACTGCAGGCGACCAGAGGAAAGTATCTGTGCACAATAAAATAGTTACATTGGGATCAAGTCGAAAGTGATAAAAGAAAAAGAACGAAAAAAAGATCAAATATCGCATGATACACACCAGCTTTGGCCCAAACAAGGGTTCCTCCTTGCAGCTGTTGGTCAGGTTCAAATTCAAACACTTTAACAAAGCTCTCCACTTCGGATGCTTTTTTGAATGTAGATGATATAGGTGGTATAGTTGCAGAAACAGCAGACGGCTCACAAGCAACAGATGTTCTAGCTGCAGCAGATCTGTGGAACTTAGTACCAGTTATTTTGGAGGTCAGCATCGAACGTACAGGCGGTGGTGAATGCGGTATCAGCTTTATCACAGCGGCATCTTCCTCTCCACCTTCACTCAGTGGGCTCAATTCGGATCCGACTTCCATTCTCCCACCCCCTTTCCCTGGAAGAGCGTTACTATATCATTCTCGTTTAGGTGATTCCAATTTCTGCTGGTTTCCCGGCTCCGTCTGTACCAAGTGATTTAAAGGAAACAATCCCGACGCAGACGACGGAACCACATCGAGATTAAAGATGGGTTCAGAAGTAGAAGCAGAAGCAAGGGAGCTACTGGCGAAAGTGGTGACTACCTGTTCCAGTCCACTAGCGTACGTAAGCTTGTCGCTCTTCGCCTTCCTACGCGTGTATTTCTCACGTCTGATTGCAAACGAATCGCGCTCTTCAATGATGAGTTTGCCATTGGCACCACAAATAATCTCTCCTATTTGAGGTAGACCACTTGGCTCGATCGTGAGTTCGGCGATGTAAATATTGGTAGTGGCGGTGACCACAGGAGTGAGTATGGTATCAACAGCTGTGACACCCGTAGATTGGGCATCCGTTGGGTTTTCCCCTGGTGCAGAAACTATTAGCCGGACAGAGGGAGTATCATACATATTCGTTTTGTGCCCGTTATCTTCATCACTGACAGCAACAGCCTGCGATAAAGCACGCAATCCCGCCGTATCACTTCTGGTCCAATGACCCGCAGACGAAGTTTGACCAAGATTGAAGAAGGCAGAACCAATTCTAGAATTGAGTGTTTGATTGTCCTCTTCAGCAGTACTGAATACCGACAACTTCGAAGTTCTCCGATCTAGCCTCAACTTCTTCCTTGGTGGCGGAAGAGAAGATGCATCCTGCACTGACACGATCGCAGAGGCAGGATGAGTAGCAGGCACAGGTGGGAGAAACTGTTGGAGCGCGAGTCCTCCGTTTCAGGTCGGATGGCAGGATCCAGCCACTATTGAACAGCTTGAACGAAACTTGATTGTCTACATGATTCTTGAATTCTGGTACTGAAGGTGTTTCTACCGGAAGCCGTGACCTGGACCGACGAGCGAATGAAGAATAAGGGAGGTCTGCGTTTGACAAGCCTTCCTCTTCTCTTATCATCGCCGTGTCTACTTCTCCCTCTGCTCCTTCTCCTCGGGACATCGAAAAGCGTACTCTCCACGCTCGTTCCCACCGTAGAAGCAATAGCAGCAGCAGCCCTCGATCTGCTTGTGCGAATAACGAGGCGCTCCTCAGCTAGACCGGCGGCGGTCATTGCAGCCTCTACTTCCGCTCTGTGCGCACATTCCTCTGCGTTGTTGTCCTTGTACCGTTTATATTCCTCGCTCCGATCAGGGCTTTGGCGCTTCAGATTACGCGCCTTTGGTCCTTTGTTGCACGCTTTGTGCGTTTGCGAAGGAGATGACGGTTTGAGAACAGGAAGCTCGATATTGATCAGGGAGGAAATTGGGTCAACGAATAGGACCAGTAAGCTTTCATCTCTAATTGCTTCGACGAAGAGGAGTTCCACGAGTTCTAGAGGAGGTTCGAGATTTCCTATAAGCGATGTTGAAGGAAATATAGGAGTATTCTGCATGTCCATTTTTACAGTAGTTGAAAATTCGATTGTCTTCACAAGCGGCTCGCCAAGGATAGACAGAGCCTGCTTCGTATATGCATGTTCAAGTTCTTACAAGATTGGCATTGCAGAATTCAAAATCTTCTGAGTAATCTCGTAAAACGGAGATCCAGCTTTGTTGTACGTTGTCGCGTTGACTAGGACGAGTTCAATATCGTTCTAAGCAATGAGAGCCAAGTCAGTGGTTCAAAAACCGACATCCAATCAATCAACTCACCCTACAATCTTTCATATCCCAATATTCATGTCGATCCAATTTCGCATCGATCATTAACCAGCACATTGGTTGGGTTATAACAGCGAAGTAATCGGGGACGTCCACTTTGTGCACAGAATTCTTAAAGCAATCGTGTTTATCATATCTACATCATACGTTAGCAGCGACGAACCTCACGACAAATCAGAAAATATCGAGAAAAAAGACGGAGAACAACGACTGAAAGAGAATTGCGCACCCTGTGATACGCTCAAACGCAGAGCATAGCCTGGGATCATGAAGGTACACGTTTTGCGTAAAGACATACTGAATGATCTCCATCTGCTGAAGCTTTCGGCTTTCCCGTTTCCAAATAAGCGCAGACAATTCCCGAAGTTTTTCTAAATATTGTTCAACTTGACGTAGTTGCTACACAAGGAAACCTGCTGAGCTCTCGAACAAAAGACAAGCACTGAAATATGTATCGACACACCCCAAATTTTAACCATCTCTCCTCCTCACTCTTTAACTTTCCCTTCCCTGCAGCAGCAGCGGCGGCCGTCCAAGGTTCCAAATGAAACCTCTTCAACAACGGTGCACCCGTTCTCGCTTCCCTCTTCAGACTCTAATATTTGCAAACCATAAGAAAGAAGTTAGCGGGTTTCCTGAGATTGATTTTCGATATGTACTGCGTGAACCTATCGACGACGATCGCTGGATGTAGCGGAGGACCGCATTTGTAGGTTTTAGCAAAGGCATGAGCACATTTGGACCCTATAGATGAGCGGTTCCTTTTATCTTCATCATCTTCGTCGGCTTCAGCAGCTAATGCTGCTTTGCGAGCTTCTTGCTGTTCTTTCTGAAATCAGTCAACAGGTGCAGAAATGTGAGTGAAAGATTTCCTGTGAAGTCTATGAGGAAGGCGCGCTTACAGGAAAATGCTTATCGCAATAGCATGTTAAAGGGACGCTTTCGACTTGAGTGCACTTCATAGGCAGGAGGAGCTTTTCGTTCCGGGCGCATGTGGTGTGAAAAGCGACAAAACAGGAGGTTTTGGCACAGTGTATACAGACGCCTGGGCGGATATCACAGATACTACATTTCTGAAAAGAAGAGGTTTCAGATCGTGTGCATTGCGGTAGTTGGAAAATGGGGGGCACTATACCAATTTCCATCTATGTTTGGATATTTTGTCCACGCCGATAGCAGACTCCATGAAAACTTTGTTAGCCACGCGCGTCTCTGGAACCCATATTGCGCAAAGAAGATGAACCCATTCAGAGTTGACGATTTGTTTGAAGGCACCTCCTTCGTTGTGACATAATATGCAGGTCTATGGTAACGTTTTACAATCAGTACGATGTCGAGCTAAAACAAGGACTTAAGAAGATTCAAGATTATAGATGAACGTACCACAGGATTCTCTGGAGACACGGTACATTTTCGACAGAGCAACTGGCCTTCAGGTATGTAAGGAACGTCGTAGCAGTCTATACTTCAGCCTTCAGGTGAGGAACCATTAGGTTTGGATGGCGCACAGCACACCTTGGTGGACAACGAGGTTACATCCATCACAAAACACAATAACATCGCTATCCTCTCCTTCAAAATCATCGCAAAATGCACATGTGGATTGTTCGGAAGGCATTGCGAAAAGAACTTTGCAGTTCACCCTCGTTCATAGCTGTAGAGATGTAGCTGAAGCTCATCGGAACGACGATAATGACGTTTACTGTCATCGTTGACGCACGAATCTGTTACATAAGCTCTCTAAGCACAATGTCAAGGTACACCAACCGTCTTTCGCCAAATCTTCCTTCAACTAAAAAGCTCATAAATTCCCAGAAATTATTCTCGCTTTTCCAGGCACCTTAAATTCAACAGCTTACCAAAGAATTTCAAGTGATTGACCACGAAAAAGATGGGTGCAGAAACGAAAGCGATCTACGAGACATTTTCAGAAACCTCGGTAAGCGTCGTCTAGCTACTTGCACTATATATTGCTCACAATGGTCAGAAGGCATAACCCCAACACAAACGATAATCGACGACCTCCTATCATTTAGGCCTCGAGATACTTTTTGTGTATCATCAGTCGACAAACGCATTAACTTCGCAAGGTTCCTCACTTTAATGAACGAAACGCTGTTCGAATTCGACACTGAAACAGAACTTCCGATAACTTTTGCAAATTTTCATGAAAACGACAACGTCACAGTTAAAGAGGAGGATATACGAAGGTGGGTGACCGAATTAGTGGATCGAATGAGTGAACAACACGTCAGTCCGTAAAATGTCCGCCAGAGCCCTTCCGTTCCTCATACATTGACAAGTTTTGAAAGGACTCTTCACGGGCAAACAAACAAACTTCATCTATCGGAAATGGATCAAAGTTCTTCGCGTCAATGAAAAAGACAACGAATTTGAAAGACAGACAAAACTTGACAAATTGACTTACAAATATATCTGAACAGAATTTACCCCACCAAACTCTGCTGTTGATTGACTAATAACACCGAACCCATGTTGCAATGTCCGTCGCAGTATTTGCAACACTTGCGTGACAGCTTTCATCGCCATTGCATACACAAACAACAGCAACTGCCTAGAACTTTCATCATCTACTCTAAAACCGATTTTCTTCAGAACGCTTTAAGTCCCATTGACATTTTGTTTTACCAGAATCAATTCCTAGAAAAACCCGTACAACAAGGTTATCCAGAGGTTGTCCTTGGTGTTATCAGCACCATAATAACAATGAAACTTCTGGCCGGTTCATTGTGTGAATGCTTCAGTAGCTGATTCATTCATTTGATCTTAAATGTGATTAGAAGTGATTATCGATGCTGTATGTTGCCACACATTCACACCAACCACCTTGAAAAAATAGACCTGATATCACACAATATCAATTTGAGCTATTTATGAAACATTGCTCTGATCTCTACAAGTGCCGCATTCATGACACTAAAATTATTTCCCTTCAACCCATCCTTACCAAACTTGAAATGTTAACAACTCCATTGTGATCAACTTGGATTTCTCATTTTCGAACATAGATGTAGATATGAGCAAATTTTTCATTCAGTATGCTTAAATTTTCTTGGTTATTATGTGAAATTTTGTCATGTTGAAGCTTTCCACCATCAATTTGTCCATCATATAACCACGTCCCATACATATTGAAAATACGTGCACAAAAGTGATTCATTCCATGATATATAATTGAATTGAGAACATAAGTCAATTTCATATTGACATTATGTAATGATACATGTATCTCATTGGATGGTATTATATTATTCACCCCAATCATTTCAAATGCTATTATTGGTGGTAATTCATTGTTCATTTCTGTCACTGAATTACAATGTTCATCACATTCAGGATTGTTGTGCTCTTTGTTGATTGGGAAAGTGCTATGATGATTCATAAACATCACATCAATATAATCTTGCACAGAATTCACGATTCCTTTATATGAATTTAAAGGTTCCAATGCAGGTATAATTAAATTGTAACATTTTAAACCTGAATTATGTTGATAACAGGTACTATGTTGTTCACAGATCCTCTCAAGTTGTATGCAGGATCTTTCACAGACATGCAAATGACATTGAATAAGTGTGGAGATTGGTAACAGAACATGACCATATTGAACACAAGCTCTTCCAAATTGATCAAATAATCCATTACGCCATTCATTGCGCATAACATTCATTCTATCAACAGTTGTTTCCATAACATTTGACAACAATTTCTGTAAGTGATTGAATAAATGTTTTGATCTTGACTGATTCATCCATATCTGCCGAGATCTTTCGGACATTGAAAAAAAACAGTTGTACAAAACAATAAATGCTGTGTCAAATGAGCAACTCCAATTTTCACTGTCCCAAGAAGGTCCTTTGATAATGAACATATTGTGATCTAATGGTTTTGCAACAAAACAATTACCCTCTGATTTCGATTTGGAACTAGTCTTTGCAATTTTTTTTTTTTTTGGACTATCGTTGCTATCATCCAATTGGCGTTTAATATCTGTGTAGTTGTTAAATTCATAATGTACATTTAATAAATTACATTTCTTTTCTGATTCTGCATCAGGGACTTCTTTCAAATCACCTTTATCAAAACCCCAGATGATCTTAGTGTTGTGAGCAATGGCACGAAATCGACGCATTTCAAACCAAAGATCATAAGGAATGGCAGGTGTGTTGAGATCATCTAGTGTGACTTTCTTTGTAATAAACAATCCTTTACGAGTACGTGGTCTAGAAGCAGCAACATATGATCCATATCCACCTAAATGCAACATGCATAAAATGGCAGGTAATGTGCGCCCTTGAGCACCCTGGCCAGTAAGTGCAAATAGAGGTTCAAATGGCAATTGCTTTCTCACAACAGAAACCAACACTTTCTCATGTTTATCATTCCATATATATGTGGTAAAGTGCCATGATCTAGCTTTAACTGGAAAATAACCTTTAGGTAATCCTGGTAATTGTACTTTACAGTCAAAAAATTCAATCAGAGCATATTCACAATACGTAAAACCATTATTATCAACTAACAATTCTAATTTTCGTAAACAACCTCTTGCACCATTTGTGATTCCGAGTTCAGTATTAATATTTTCATGCTTCAATATTACAGGCATTCCAATATACAAATTTAATATTCCTGGCAAACTAGCCCTAAATTTTGCAGATGAAGTATCCATAGATTGCAATTGTGTTTGTTCAAAAGTTGAGGGAAATGAATTTTCATGCTTTGATTTTTTCTGAGTATATTTCTTATATTTCAATTCATCATGGGCAACAACTTTGATTAGTTCAAGAGATTCCACACCATTACAAATAGCAATTGCTTTATATTCATTCAATGCCCGTCTTGTCGTATTTTTTGAAACAATCATGGAGGCAAGATAGTCAGTTTCAGAATCAAAAATGACACCTTTAGGATTACTTAATGTTTTGATTGCACGTGAGTTGAACAAGTCAACATCGGACTTAATGCATTCACGTATACGTAATCGAGACACAGCTGCTGCATACTCAGGATCATCTTCCATTCGTTTTTGCACATGAAGTTCTACAACAGCATTGATAGACTTCCATGCCATTCTTCCTAGTCTCCGCATTAATTCATCCTCATTTTGTTTTCCTGTAGATCTAATAGGTGTATATAGTGAAGTACCCACAGGAGGATATTGGAAAGGATCTCCTGAAAATATAATATTAATACCTCCAAAGAAATCATCAGGCTTTTCCTTTGCATAGCGTAAAGATCCATCTATATCTGCTAAAAGGATTGAGTCAACCATTGATACCTCATCAATTAGTAATAAACATACATCTTTCCATTCTGTTCGTAAAGAATTGTTTTTCTTTACTGTTGCATATACTGCCATTTTTTCTTTTAATTCACCTAAATTTCGCTTTGATCTTCCATTTCCATGTTCACGTACTTTAATGTTAAGACCAGAGTGGATAGTTTTACCATTAATAAGAGAAGCTGCATTACCTGTAGGAGCTAGTGCGCGATAGGCATGACCCATTCCATAATGTTCCATAACTTTTTGAACTGCTTGAACCACGTGTGTTTTACCTGTCCCTCCCGGTCCTGTTAAATTCATGATCAATGGGCGTTTTTCAGTCCATTCAGGAATTTTCAAAATTTCCCTGAATATAACAACTGAAGAGATAATTTCAAATGCAACGCTCTGCTCATTACTCAGATTATATTCTTTTGCAATAAGATTTTTTACCTCTGCTGGAGTAAACACTGACATATTATGGTCTGCAACATTGGTTGTCATTTTACTTTTGTAATAATCTTTGTATGTGCCTTTGGTTGTATGTAATAAGTCTTCATTGCTTTTGTATGAGTTCTGGGAAGACAAATTAGTTTGTCTAAAACGTGCACTTGACAGGTTTTCTGCAATCATTTTACTGTCCTTTATCCATTTATGAACATTTGTAAAGTTTAATGAAGGTAGCTTAACTGAAACATTTGAGCTAGTTGACATAGATTTCTTTAATTTTTCAGGGGGGTGATTTAACCAAGCTGACTTGGTTAAATCCATTTTTAACAACTGCAATTCATGATTATCTTCATTGCCTTTTGAATTCTTAGGATTCAATGTTTTGGCATCAATAAAAACATAACATGTTTCATCTTCATCATCTAGCTCTTCATCAATTGTTACTGGGACGTGTGTTGTTTGCACCAACATACTTGCTCTTTTACGTAATCTTTCAGCATCCCGCTGATCAGCACATTCATGTATTTCTTCCCAGTTACTTAATACTTTTTGATGTTCAGGTGATATCAGTAGGTTATGAAATTCCGATTCAACTTTATCATCTTTCACAAGAACCCTTCTTTCAGAAAAAGGTTTGAAATGAGCAAGAACAAACAATGCATACTGTTGTTGATTTTTTCTTGGGGGAATCGCTCCAATCATGACAGGAACATATTCTTTTCCTACATCACCTTGTTTGTAATTCGTATGTTGAATAAGCTCATGAGTATCACAAAGTGGATGATTGGCTGACAATTTATACCGGGATAATACTCCTAAACGTGTTGTTGAAGTATTTGGTGTTCTGGTTCTACTTTTTGGTTGTAGAGAGATATACCGGATGAAATCATAAAAGCACATATCATCGAGAAGTGAATCTCGATACCAGTAATCAATGACTTGATTATAACCAATCATTTTACCGTTTTTGACACTAAGTGAAAGTTGCAAATCCAAGTCATCGGTGCTGCTGTCATCCTCCCAATTACAACTATGTTTGAAATATTTTTGTTGAATGAAAATCATCAGATTTGCAGATGGCAATGGGATTGTTTGATGTGAACACATATTGTCTCCTTGTCTGCGAAGATATCTTGCACATTGCTGTGCATGAATCTGTTGTTTGCGCCCAAAATGAGTTAGACATCGATGTAACAGTTTTTTTGAATCAAACACAGCTGATTCATCGGACTCATCAGGTGTTAATGAGGCAACTGCTTTTGACAATGTTGAAAGTAGTGCTTCTGTATTTAGTGGCATTTTTGTTATGTAATCAGAAATATAAAACATTGCAGCTTTGGCAGCCTTACCAGATAATATACATTTAATATCATGATTGTGTCTAGTACATACCAACAATTGTGGGTTGTGTCCATTGACATCAGTTTCTTTACGTGCAAAAATGATTGAATTTTGCTTGATGTCGTAATTAGAATTCTCAACAATTTCATGGGGATAACCAAAACGGCAAACATCTGTATTTGTCTGACCTTTATGACATACTGGGCGACAACGATGTCTCTGAAATCTTTCACCTATCCTTTTGTGTTCATCTTCAAACAGTTTTTCCCAATCACATATTAACTCTGTAGAAACAGTGTTATTCTTGTCAATCACATGAAATTCCGGTGGCATTTCAACTCGAGGTTCATAACCTTCAGGTAAAACAAAATCAATACATGGAAGATGATGGTGAATAATGTCATCAAAAAATGAGAAAAATTTCTCGGAATATCCATCTAATCGACCTAATCTCTCATGAATTTCAGAAGGATTTAAGCCACCTCGTAGAAACAAAAGATAATGTCCATGAAAACATCCCCTTTCTGTAAGTTCAGCACAGCCAAAAAAAGCACGGAGATGTCCAAATATCCCTCCATGATCAGTACTCTTGCCAACTTTGAAATCCCAACCAAGTAATTGTTCAAATATAGTATGATACATAAAATCAAAAAAATCCGCTGCAGCAACAGGATCTCGAGCAACCCGACATGCACGCTCACTGCGAGGATGAACAACGTGGGGGAACCGTTCAGCTAAATTAATATCAGATTCACCATACATTACTTGAAATATTGGACTATGCACTGCTGATGGATTTAATGTGAGGAACAACTGTGGCATACCAAAATAAGCATAATAACATCTGATATGATTACGTGTTGTGGTTCTTGATGCTTGAGATCCTGGAATTTTAGCCGAAATTATATTCACCTGGTTCAACAACTGAAAAGCATGTTGCTCATCCTCTGAAAAGTCAGATTTGTCTTTTTCATCTTTAAGCTTCTGTGCTAAATCCAATAAAACATCCGCAGTAACTGTTGTAAAAGCAGGGGCAACCATTGCAAATTTTTTTGATGAAATTGATAATGATGTATGAAGATGTGCTTTTCTTCTCTGAATTAAATTTAAAGCAACAAAAGAAAAAAGATGATGATATCGAAATTCACGTGAGGATTGATCAAGTAAATGTTCAACATGAGCTTCCAGCGAAACAGCCGGACACTGATGATCATCCTCAAATCCTCCAATCCCCAATGGAAATAATGTTGGAAACATTCCAGGAAACAGGTCAGGATTATTATATTCATTAATTGGATCTCTTTCATACATTAAAAAAACATCTTTTTTATTAACATCTGTTGATGACAAAGACTGTGCAATGTTATTAATTGATGAAGCTGTCATGAATCTGGCTGGTACATCTTGTGATTCAGGATCATATAATCCAGATCGTTCTAATAGAATACTTTCTTCTACAGAATTACTAAGTAATTCAGCAGGATGATCATCAAAACCATTTGATTCAGTACCAAACAAATTGGTAGATGAACTTTCATGATCGTAGATGATCCGCTCTGCAAGGCCTGGTAGTATATCATTTTCTGGGTACTGATTCAAGACACTGTTATCCATAGAGTACAGATCCTTATACAGTCTGTTACGCTTACATAGATCAGAAAGAAGCATTCTTATAACAGATCTCCTCACAAAGAAAGGTTTAAATTTGAGCAAATCTGTTTCTGTGAGTTTCCTCTTTCCTACAAAGATAATAGTAATCAAATCATTCAAATCTGTAGGACTCCAAGGTAGTTTCTTTGCAGTTGCACACACATTAAGTGGATGAGCACAAACATTACCATGCAACTGAAGTGGATCAGTAACACTAGAAGAACCAAATATACGTGTAACATGTGCCGTTGTTCTATAAATGCTGCAAGCCATTTCCTCCACCCATGTCACATTTTCTAACTGTTTCAATGGTTCTCCTCGATACAAGCAATTGTTCAATGCCAACCGTGGCATTTTTAAACGCCTTAATGAACCATAACAATCATGGCAGAAATATATCTCAAACACTGTGCAAGATACATCAACAGAACGGATTCCTTCTTTATTCAATAATAATCCATCTAGATCTCTACAGATGTAAATGAACCGTGAGTGGGGGGTGTTTGCAATGATATATGGATCTTTTATCCGTAGAACAGACAAATCAGGCCACTCTGCCTGAGTCTTATAAGATCCAGTACGTAAACCATCTTCGGATCCGCAACATGCACAAATCGATGGGGGCAAATATTGAACGAATTGTCTGTAATTTCTCACACAATTCATTTTTGTTTCAATAGAAATTTTTTCCGGCCACGATTCAGAACATTGGTGCAGTAAAGAATACTCTTTAGATGCACGTTCAATACGTGTTTGTTTTCGCTTGTTCTTCTTATAAAAATTTCGATTTGAATATGAAAGATCTTTACTTTGGACTGAATAAAGTATTTGTTCCAAAATATCTTGCGCATAACCCAGAGCCACCAGCACTTGGAACACAACATCCTGTAAACCAATGTCTGTCAATGGGATGCCGTAGTGATACAAATAATCATCACATATTCCTATATTGTCTTTGAAATAATACTTCTTGTAGTCTCGTTGAAAACACTTTCCCATTAATTTGAATACATCATTTGATCTAATCTCTGAACGACCTTCATCATTCAAACTATAGAAAACTAACATGGATTTATCTTTGCGTTCAAATATCTTCAAAGCTTGTTTCATATTCAACATCTCTTCCTTTGTCAAATTTTGAAACACAGTAATAATTACACCCAAATTGCTCTTTGCAAGCAATGGATCATCACACCGATCAATCTCATGATGAGCACGAAAATGTGTGTACAAAATCTTTGTCACAACTTCACCAAATTGCAAACTACATCGCTTATGTATTTCTGAGTATACATTTGAGTTTTCTGGTTCGTTAACAGCATTATCCGTAGAGAAACGTAACAATCTTTGTACAAGATCATCTACAACAGTATGTTTTTGACGTCGACTTCCTACAAATGATGACAACATACGGATAGGAAGTTTTCTAAAATGAATTCTGCAACTATTAATATGTTCTGGTGACAACCAGGGAGGAGCAGAGCAAGAAAGAGTTGAAGCAACTGTTTGAAGAGATTCCATTGTTGGGCTGAATAGAACAGAAACTGTTCTAGTTCATTAAAATTATATGAATTATATCACTTTTAAAGCACGAAAATTTATACATATAATGACTAACAGATTGATTCATTGACGATGCTTGTACTAGATTGTGATATGAATATAATCTATATACCAGTTAATGTTGTTACTCCTTCATTGATCTACACCAACATGTTTGACATTTATTTTCCCTACATTTGCATCAATATCGATTTGTATCATCCACATATGTAGTATAAATAGATACGATTACTTGCATGAATACAACCATATCTATCTGTACATGTTGACTATAGATCAAAGTTTCGACTTCTCCGTACAACAACAACGCTTTCTTTGAATTGTCTACATAAATCGGATTGATAGTCTACCATATTCAACGTTGATTACAAGTAACATTCGAAGGAAATATTTCACAACGTATAATTCGTGAAATTGACATGTGGAAACATTCACCATAAAGGAAAAACAATAGGTTCGTGTGCAAACTTTTCACTACAAATGCATAAATAAACATGGAATCTGTTTTGCATATCTATCGAGTTATTTCAGATCACCCGTCAAATTTTCAACATCATCTTATGTCTCCTTCAATTTTCAATCAGAAAATGTATACATATCATGTCTCGATTTCTTATTCGCACTAATTTTCTTCTAGTCCCTTAGAGACCTCAGAGATGATATTGGATGGGCTAACTCTAAACGATCTTGCTTCTCTCAGTAGAACGTCCAAGATCGCAAACACTGATATTACAAACTACAAGCGACGTGTATTCACCATTAAACATGCTTATCGGAATTTCTTCAACATGAAAGAAATCGTCGAGTTCCAACGGCTACAGGCACGTGGATGATGCGCTATCTAATACACTACTTCTTCACCGGTTCATTATACAGAGTTCCACGGCTCTTATCGTTTCTGGATCGACGGCTCTCGAATTCTTCAACCGAGAACAATACAGTGGCGATCTAGACACATATTGCCAAATCAACCGCTGTAAAACTGCGGGTGAATGGTTTATATCACAGGGCTATCTATTCAAACCAAAAGAAAACCAAAAAAACGATTTCACCGACGCATTCACTCAAATCCTGGAAACAGGCAAAGACAATGAAGTGATAGCTGTACCAAACGATGTAGACCCGTCAGATTACACTTTCAATTCTGTGAAGACTGTCTGGGATTTCGTTCGAGGATCATCTAAGATACAGCTCATCGCCACTGCAGGTCCACCTCTGGAAACCATATTTTGTTTTCATTCAAGTTTGTTCAAGTCTTACTTGATGATCTACAGAAGAAACTGATTCCAAACTTCGCTCAGCATGTGTAATGAACGTACTTACACATCGAGCTGCCTACTGCTTATTCTCGAAGCTCACCTTGGAGGAGAAAACTACAATGCTTATCAATCTTCGAGCACCTCTGAACGAACTTCAAATGTATCCAATACGAAAATATCAGGATCGTGGATTCAACATAATGCATACCCCGACGTTCGAACAGGCTTGCAATCCATCTTCATCACTTTCATTTCTGTTGTCCAGATACGTCGGTGACAGACACTGCTACCGTATTATTTTCGAACATCTGAGTGATGGTATGCCTACCAACGATCTTTTCGAATTGAACAGCTGGGATATGGCGTATACTCGACAATATAACACAATCGACGTTTATTCGTTGGATATCTCCGAAGCGAAGGAAAACTATGTCGTTGGACCACATAATGTTGCACAGGTTAGAGCTGAGGCTGTCACTATAAATGAACTTATCAGAACGAGAACACTCCGGTATGAATAACATATAACATAACCGTTGATCTACTAACAGTACTCTCAGCGGAGACGCTGCAATGGCAGCAATTCAGAACATCGTCCGAAATACAAACAAGCCGTCTATTACAAAAACACCTTTTTGGTCTGAATTCAAAAAGCTGTTTGACTTGGCAAATACTTCTGCATTTCCTATATCTCCTTCAAACGCGCAAGACTTGGCGAAACTAATATTAACACTTCAACGACAATTCGCAACGATGAACATGGTTAGTTGGATACAATTTTATTGATGAAATCATTAACATTCACCGTTAATCAGGATAATCCTTATCTAAACGTCAGTGAAGAATCTAGAAAACTTATGCTGATGATAAAACTTGGGCCTCCGAAAACGCACGTAAACTTGGATGTATTGCGATCATTGATACATTCTTTCCTTTCTGACGACATTGTCATTTCTCTACATTAAAAACACCAACGATTTCTTTTCATACAATCTTACCATTGGTTGTCACAAACAGATGTATATCCATGATTATTCTCCTTACAATTTCATTTTTTTCTTGAATATTAACGATTCGACCATGTCCTATTAAACATTGATGTGAACTCATTCTGAATAAATCAAAGGACATGACATACAGGAGCTGGTGGCTTATCGCGTTTGAGACATTTTGTGTCAAAATCCAACTATACAAGCCGCGGTGAAACTTCCAAGCCATCCTCATCTTCGTTATATTTCCTTGAATTCTTTTGATTTTTCAACTTTCCACTTTGACACGCCGATGATGAAATAGGATCTATTTCTTTCTAGGTTGGGGATTTTCTCTTTCAAAAAAACCTATACGATCCTTCGAAGCAGACAATCGATATTGATCGGAAATCGCGTGATTCAGCGTCGTCCCACTCTTCTTCTTCATCATCTACATGGAATTCCTCTCATTACTCTTTGATCTCCGATGCAGAGGTGTTGAACTACGCTCGTATCCTCGAACACGTCCAGGGCGCTCTCTACACTCAAGCCTTAGCCAAGTTCTCCGCCGATGCTTTTGAAGCGACTAAGTTTGCCGCAACTGTCAAGGCAAACTACGACGATGTTTTGCCGATGAACAGACTCACATCACTTTGCTACAAAGAGTTTTGGAGGAGATGGATGCGAATACTATCCAGGAATGTACCCCCCGGCTTCTAAATATAGATAACCCCCGCTCCTGAACGTGCTTGTTAACACCATTTCTGTTCGTATCTGTAGCAGCGGCTCAGATGATGTCGCTTCGTTCATCGCGACGAATGCAGCCTTTGACACTGCTAACACCTTTGCTGATTCTCAAACTTCTGGACTTCCCCTAGACAAGGTTTGTTCTTTAGGTCACTATTTTCTCGATAGCATAATAACTTTTCTTTTGTTTATTTCTTGAACTACAGGAGCTTCTTCCCGCTAACTTCTCAATCTTCTAAACTGAAGCTCATCAGACAACGTGGTTCAAATCTACCGTCCAGAATTCAAATCCCTGGAGGAGTGCCTTTATCGGTCCTTTGACCCCCAACAACAATTTCACTATCGCATCAAACTTCATCGCCACATATCCTTCTTCTAATCCACCTATCGCAGTCACTCAGTATTTCCCGCCAATCAGAATCCCCACTACCGCTGCTTCTGGTGCTTCAGTCCACCTCGCGCTCGCCCTGACCGAGACAAATACCTCCGATTTGTCGGAACTATTCGTTGCGTTCCCTAATTCCAATCGCACCCCCTTCGAACAATTGTCTTCCTCAGATTCATACAACGTCATCTTCCCCACACAGGAGGACGATGTTTTTGGTACGATGTTTGTGCTCCCTGCCCGTTATAACAATGAACCACCAAAACATCAACTCTATTTCGTCCTGGATACCCTATATTCCATCATCTTCTTATTGTAACGGTCCTGTTCGCGATATAGATGCTGGACGCAGTGTTGATGATAGTAGTCTTCAACCAGAACCTACCTCGGTCCTTATCAGATCATACTGTACACGATCAACGACACCTGAACTGTCGACGTCATTCATGGACGGCGCATAGCTTCGAGGAACCTCTCAGTACACCTTCACTTAGCCGCAGCGCTACCACCACTGATCTTCTTCAGAATCGCAAACCAAACAGCGCTCTCCTGCGGCTTAATGCAAGAAACTATACACTTCGCGAGCGGTCACTGTTCGGACAATTGTTGGAAAATGGAGGTCAGATTACCCCCACTCCGACTTCGTTCAGGAGAACAAGCAGGGCTCACATTACCAGAATACCCATCGGAAACATCACACCTAGAAACAGCATGGTAGAATCACATGTTTCCATCGACATCCAGTCGCTCATTGATCAAGATGAATTCTTTGCCAGATAAAGTCCTACAGAATCAGACTCCGATTGTGATTCAGTCGATATGCATTCAACAACGGTGATTGTTTCCAATTGATTTTGCAACACTTCGGCGTATTCATCCACTCGTATCTTGCAAAATGATGACCATTATGATGATCGTGAAGCGAGTACAATTATTTGTTCCCTAACATACACTAATATATTCACAATACGCACGTCAACGAAGAAGAACTTTCCACACTTATCACACGCCTTCCACCGGCGGTTTCACCAAACTTACCTGAGCAAGTGAACCTATACTTGACTCCTACAGTGATGAAAGGAGAAAAGCTTATCAGGACGCAATGAATAGTTTCAATCGACTACCACAACAACTCAATGGACTCAAAAGGGGCAAAGCTGCAGTTTCAACTAACGCAACCAGGTGCAGTGGAACGAAAATCAATGAGCAAGAAAAGTCACCGAGTGCCGTCAAGTAAACAAGGACCTTTCGTCGATCACTCATTGACAGTTTCTATACTGCAGGATGATGACGAACAAACGGCAATGCTGAACAAAGACGCTGTCATGTCCGGAGACGTGGTGAATGATCTCGGGCCCCCATGAAAGCTCTTTTTGTGTGTGACTTGCTCCTTATATCAAGGCTTCATTTTCTAATTCTATTCTCATATACAGCACCTGTACCACGAGTGACGAACGCCTTCATGAATCCTTCATCCTTTCACAACAAATCCATCGTCGCACACCACAACCAGTTCCACTTTTTAGAACTCGATGAATTGATTCAATCGACTCAAACTGGCCTACTTTGCTTTCAAACCACCTCTAATCTCGCTATGATGAGACTCTATTACAAGATCGTTCTAGGTCGGACCTCAATCTCTCAATACTCATCCGAAGAATCAATGCCTATAACCCCCGTTTCTGCGAGAGGACCTTCAAACACTGTAACGTCAATGTCGAAACGTAAAAATGTCTTTCTCAGTAGTGGACAGAGCACTGAACACGTCTTTTCGATGTACTTGTCGCTTCCTCTTTGGAATCTTACCTCTTACATCTTTCACTCAGCTCCGTTTCATATCTCAGCTGTATCTGTACATTGCAAGAATTCGCCAAGGAGACGAACATGCTTGTCGATGCGATGGAGAGAATTTATGCTATTGAAGCTGAATAGCTAACCCGAAGTCGTTCGTGGAGCCGAATTTACGATGTAATAAGAAATCGTCGGTCGAAATGCAGGACTGGGAGCAACGGGACTGTTCAACCCAATTACAAAACAGACAACGGACTTCGGAAACGCCTTTGTATGTCTAATCATAATATTTTTATTTCATTTCTTCAGTCAACTGGGTATTGATGTCACGGCGCGCAAAATCTCACCTTACATTAGTTCCTTCCTCCCCAATTTCTCAAAAATCACGTCTCATGCCCCGGACACAACACAAATACCTTCAAAAAAAAAAAAAACTTCCTTTCATTCGAAAGATAACACAACGACTGTAACCGTTAGGGAAACGATTGAGCGATGGAGATACCAAGTTCGCCGTGAAAGCTCATACGGCTACGGCAACACTTCCTGCTCCTGCGTTGTTCGATCATAACAACCCGTTCTTCGTAAAGTACTATGAAGATTGGACTTTGATTTCGGTGTGCTTATCTTCATAGCTAGAGATTGTACAACAGACGTATGTCGCTAATTCTTTGTACTAATGTCTCCTACGATTGGTGCTATACCAACTTAGCTTTCTTACTACGTCACCACATTGACTCTCGAAACCATTCACAACTCAATTTTCTCAGACCGCGCCGTATCCTGAAAACTTTGTGCGAATCGTGGTTTATATAGATTCGACTTATTCAGATCCAACAACCAGACTTCACGCTGCCGTTGCTGCAGAAAAGGATCTTCTGTTCATTCTCAGAAAACACTATATTCCTCTTAATCTTTGGATTTTGTTTTCCCATCCGCTGTTTCTCGAATCCAAACGGGCGTATGCCTGCGTATGCCTCCTTCGTGCGTGCTGTACTACTTACGTATAACTTGACGTGTTTGTATTGCTAACGACTTAGCACTCAGTAACGACTAATCCCAATTCATGTGTACACCTCTATGATATGGAGAATATCTGTCATGCCCTGTCCCAAAAGCTCCCCTTGTCAACCTCCTAGACATCCCAGAACAGCGTATCAGCTCCCTTACACCTCCCAAATAACCTCCCATAAACCTCCATGAACCACAGAACCCTAGCTAACCTCCCCACCAACGCTAACCTCCATCTGAAGCGACAGCTCCACGACTCGCATACGCCGCCGGACAATCCCCTATCAATTTAGCCTCATGGGTTCCGCACTTCACGCCAACCCCATTAGATGCTCGTTTATTACAATGTCCCGTTACTATTCAGCCCACCTATATAAGTATCATCTGTAACATAAGCGTCCCTAGCTTGGTATATTTTGAACACACACCCTTTACATAGGTCCAGTCCCTGTCCCTTTGTACCTGCTACCTATACGGAATTCTCTTTACTCTCTATTTCTCTGCCTCTGTTTCTCTCAATTCTTGTCTATCGTCTCTGTGATCGTCTATACGATTCAATACACGCTTTTACTTCACGTCTAAGCAATCCGAGTGAGTTCCCGAGCTCCCTCAAACAATACTAAAGCTCCCCAACGCCTATCGCCTCGGTGAGCCAACCTCCCCAAACCTCCTCGAGCTCCCTAGCTACTCTATAGGCTGCAGGACCTCAATCTAGGTAACGTCGAAGCTACCCCTCACGTCAAACTACATACTGCTTCTCCGTTGCCACCTCCCACACTCGAGGACGTCCATCCTCAAGCCTAGCCCCAGGGACCTACCCTCCGTGGCACATCCCTTCTCAGGAGCTTACACCCTCGAGACCCATTTACACACACGACCTACTCGATCCTATATTGACGTTCTAGCGAGTACAACTCCTACTACGCAATATCATACGGTCCCGCACTCTTCCTTAACCTCCCTACGCCTTAGGGACCTCCCTGGACCTCCTAGGGACCCCTCAAGGGTCACCATCTCATCGTTCCAGCCACTACTAGGTCATTCCCGTCCTCGGTCGCGGTTCTCGTAGCTCCCTTTGAGCTCCAGCCTGCTCCTAGCACGCTACAACATAAACCTCCACATACCAAAACCTACCCTAAGACCTATTTTGACCCAGGTCTTACATTATACCAAGCTCTCCCGTCACTGAACGGACTCGTCGTGACAAAATGTCGGCGACATCAACGGAACGACCTTCTAGTTCCAATACCAAATCAAAGAAGCAAAAGAGCACCTTATCTCGTGGAAACACGACACAAGCTCAAAAGTCGAACCAGGCTGCTAGCTCCACTGTCATCACGGTGGCAGCTGGTCAACGCCTGATGTCCATCCCAGAACAGTCGTTTGGGGATAAAACCGCCAGCAACATCCGGACCCCAGAGGGACGTCAACCAGAGGTTCAGGGACCCCCTCCAGTGGAACCTGGAATGGGACCACCACAACGGAGGTATACCTCCATGGGTTACGCCCAATCTGCCAGTAGTCCCATGGGAGGTTTCGCATACTCCCCTACCTGGGGAACGAGAGGACCTCCCCCTGGACCGGTACCGCAGCTAGACATGGAGTCAGCTTCGAACGCGGGTGGAAGAGTCAGCGGCCAAGTAGCCGCTATCGAAAGGATACAAGGGGAGAGTACTGACCCTCTCACAGTACGACAACAGGAAAAACTCCCAGAGAGGAGGGTATCCCCTGCCGTATCCGAACAGTCTCGGACGTCATCCCAGAGGTTACCAACACCTCCAGTACAGTCCCTTAACCTTCCTCCCCCGAGACGAGGAAGCTCGCTCTCCAGTCTCCTAAAGAGCCCAGCTATGAATATGCCCAACTGGGAGCGTACACACGCAATACACCATAGCAGGACCAACTTCCCAGTACAAAATGACATTGCGTCTGGAAGACGTCATTTGAATTCAGGAGTGTATCCCGGAGGATGTAGCTATGGTCCTAAGGGAGGTATTGGAGTCAATGGGGATCGAAACATTGGGAGACGGTCTCGAATTCTCAGACCTACGAGTACAGTTCCTAACAGTGGGAACTCAACTGGAGATAGACCTCCCAGAGAAGGCCCAGCTGGCTGACAACCCCAGCAAATCGATCAGACTTTCTCTGGTTGTATAACGTCCTACTGGACCCCGAGAGGATGCTAGAATTGCTAGAAGCAGAGGCTCATTACGGACGATCGTTTCAAAACGCGAGGGGAATACTTCCCCTCCGCCCTCATACCCATGGAAACGAGAGGAATTTCTGTGGTGAAGCGGGTCTGCGCATATTCTATTGAGCATCTAACTACAGATCCGGAGCTGTATGGTTCAAACCTCCCCCTTCGAGGGTTAACGTCCCGAACTACCAGGCGATCCAAATACTACGGAACGCAAACCTAGCGGCGGCAGCAGCTAAAATCGATGAGGAAAGTAACGAGGATGCTAACGCAATTGCTGCAAAAAATTGTAGACGCAGGAGATACACTACTGCTCACCTCCTGGCCCCAGTGGAGTCAATGCCTGATCAGGATAGTCCCGTCCGGGTCCGTAACGGACAGGCGGTATACATGTACACGCCCATGAGGCATATGCACCAACTTCTGGTGAGGAGTGAGGAGTCCGAAGCAATGTTGTGTTCACAGGAGACCCGACACCGGACGCTACTAGCGGAATCAGACACTCTGATGCTGTCGGAGGAACTTTCTGGATCGAATCTAGAAAGAGCTTTGGAATTCCGTCGCAGACTGGTCGCGGATAATCGGGGAACCTCGTATATGGTTCAATGCGAACTCGAAAGCATAGGGGAGTTCCCTCCGGAGCAATTTGACCAGAAAGGGCAGCTCCATGGATCTGATGGTCGTTTCCTGGCACAGAAACATTCATCGCCCAGGAATATCGAGGTTCCTGAACTCCTTAACCCCAGTAACACAGCCACGAGGAGCCCCCAGTTACGCTCTGGGACCTCCCCCACTGTACATGCCTTGGCTCAAAATTCGACTCCTCCCCCCAGAGTTAACCTGCAAACGAAACCAGTAACCCCAGTCTCGATGCAGCGATACCAGTTTGGTGAGGTGAGGATAGATGGCACACAACATTCATCCCGGATCTCCAGACAAGATCTGACAGCTCGGTTGGCTCCCAACCCTGTACACGTTCGTCCAAGACTGAGCAATCCATCAGTCATTCCTTATCAAGGGTCAGTATCAATGCAATCTCAGGCAGTGGGAATGGAAAGTCAAAGGGGTCCGGACCAACGAAGAACGTTGGCAGTTCACGAAGAGGCAGTACCCCCGCAGGGAGCTCCTTTTGAACTCCCTTTGTAACGGGAGCTCAGACGAACCGACCTGGCATGGCTTTCGAGTCGGCACGCTCTCAGGAGACGGCTGTCATGATCCAACAGCAGGCTCAAGTCATTGAGACGCTTCAGGAACAACTCCGTGAAGTAAGGAAGGGATTTGCAGCGGGGGGAATACCGACTGGTGGACCGACTCCCAAAACAGGAAACATGGCAGAAGTATTCGTGCAAGCGCCCATGGTAATGATAGAGGGAACAAGGGGGGGTCCCTCTCACATAGTTCCCCAGCCGAGAAGCTGGCAGGCTACGGAGCCAATATCCTTTACCAGACGAACTCCTATAGGAGTTAAGGAAGGGAACCCTCAGGAGGGACAAACAGCCCCGCTACCTGCCACCCCGAGTGTGGATAGGAGGCGGATTCAGGAATGGGGAGCTCGCGTGCAAAGAGCAGAGCTCGGGGAGTATGTGAGACCGGAAGGAGGAAGGTACGCGGTAGAAGACGGTGGAGTAGCTGCAAGTAGGGGAGGTAGGGGAGGGTTCAGACCCCCTGATAGAGAACCCCCTCCACACCTTTCAAGCCAAACGAGGGATCGAGAAAGACCTCTGAGCCAGGGGGAACAGGATCAAAGTAGGTGGGAGGAGCTCCCCCTCCACCGCCTCCTCCTCCACCACCCTCAGCGGGACCAGGTAATAATGATTCCAAAGGGTCCAACAAAGGGGAACGCACCCAGTCAAGTAGGAACGGGGACAGGAACGGTGACGACGGAGTGGAGCTTCCCACGGGAGCTCCTGAAGTACCCCCAACTTGCTACGACCCGGACCAACCCTGGTATTACGATCCCAAACAAGGCTGGCATCGTAAAGCAGCCCCTAGAAACCCCAATGAGGGACGGAACACTTGGGAGAGCAATGAGGAGAAAAACCGAATTACTATCGAGTCAAAACTTGACGTTGGTAAGATCGAAAGCTTCGCAGGTAACGACCGGTTGGCATGGAAGACGTGGGTCCTCAGTTTGGAAAGGATGTTTGAAGTACGTCCTACCATCTATGCTCGTGAAAAGGACAAGTGCGCTTCCGCAGCTAGTCATCTCACTGGTGCAGCACACTCCCACTTCGACACGTTGAATAGACAACGACTGAAGGGGGGGTACACTTGTCTCGAAGACTGTACAGAATTCAAACAAGAGTTCGGTTCCAAATTTGGACCCATCAACAAGGCGGACGAGGCAAGGAGGAGGTTGGCCTGGATGAAGCAGATGCCGGAGGAAAGCTTCGCCAACTTCTTCATTTGCTTCAACGAATACGCTCC